AACACCCTTCGTGGCCCCGCACGGAGGTCAATTGAAGGTTCCAGAGGCAGCGCCCGTATGCGTCCCCAGGTTTGTGATGTTCTAACCTACTTTAGCCTTGACCACCAGAAAGAGTGTCGAGCAAAGTGCCGAATTTCGAGGGTTTTCACGTGCCGGGCCCTGGGAGACACTCGTCCGACATTGTTTCGACACTCTTTCGACACTTTTTCGAAACTTCTCCGGGTGCTCTAAATTATTTTTGGGATGTGGTCCTTAAGTACGATGGGAGCAACAGAACCCCAGGCCAATTCCCGAAGTCAGCACGTACCCCTCGCATGTTCCGTGGCCCCAGCGGAACTTCGCCGAGAGGCCCCATGGGCAGCGCTCCCCTGCTCCCCCCAGGCCTATCGCGGCACACCCCATCACGCGTCCCGAGGTCCCATGGAGAAGTCGACCGAAGGCGGCACCCGCCCAGCCGTGGTGGTCGTACCCAATAGGTCCCCATGCAGAACTCCCAGCCCGTAGGCTCGTAATGCTCCTGCGTCATCTCCTCTGCACTCGTGAGGGTGTCAGTGTCCGTCTCCGCCCGCGGTTGTATCTGTCCATATGCTGCGTTGTTGCCTCGGCGGCGGCTCCTCTTGGAGAGCCCCGCCCTGCCCCGTCGGACATGGCAGCACGCGGCGCACTGCTGGCAAAACGCTCACACGCTTCGTTGCCTCACTGGAGCTCCACTGAGAGCGACCTGGGCCCTCTACCAGGATGAGCTTGGGAGGGGAACGGGAGCTTCCACCGGTGGCACGCCGCCGTTGGCCGAGTCAGAGAACTGCCCACGCGCAACGCGTCGGAGCTCCGCGGGGGTTCGCCCGATCGGCGCCTGGACCCCGTAGCGCCGACCCAAGAAGTCCACGGGGACCTCCGGACATGGATGCCGCGTCTTGGCGTGCTTGTCGGGGGCCGCCACTTCCGCGGCGGCGCCGCACGTGCATCTCACGCGGAGAGGCGCGCCGCGCCGTGCCGCGCGCCCGAGGCGCGGTCGATCGCGACCGCCCCGGCCCCGCGCAGCGCGCGCTCTGCGCGGGGCCTCACCGCTGGTTCTTTTGCCCGCCCGCCACCAAACGCCCGGGTTTCAGTCGGGCCTGTCCTATGGGAACAAAAAGTGACACAAACATAAGAACTCGGAGGTCCGCGCGGACTTCTCGGATCGGCGCTGGGGCCCCCCGGCGGCGCCTCCGGCGCCGCACCTGCACCTGGCGCGCTCCGCGCGCCAGGGAGGGGGGCCCCAGCGCCGATCCGAGAAATCCGCGCGGACCTCCGAGTTGTTATGTTTATGCTCTTTTTTGTCCCTCTATGTCCCTCAACAGGACGAACATCCAAAAATAATCAGAAAATAGTTGGGGTATGTTTTGCATATTTCGTGGCCATGTTGGGGCATTTTAAAAAATATGTGTTATCTTTCGTCAAACATCCCCCTCGATCCCCGGCGCTCCGTGCGGGGCGCTGCCCGTGGCCGCGTTTTCTTGTGGCCTGGCCAGGCGCCATGGCGTGCCGCCGCCCACCGTTGCGGCTGCGTGCGCCCGTGCGGCGTCGATGGAACGGCGCGGGCACTGGCGATCTTGCCCGATACGAGTGTGAATGCTACGCCGCCGAGGGGAGCCCGGCAGCGTGTTGTTATCGTGTCGTGCGCGTCGGAAGCCCGTGCGTGTTTTTGGATGCAAGGTTGCGCGGATGGGCTCCCTGCGGTGTCGCTGATGCTGCCTCTGGCCCCTCGCTCCCGCAGCGCGTCGCCCCTTCGCTTGGCATCGCTCGGATGTGTGTATTTTTCCGTCGGCGAGGAGCATCCTTGATCATTTGGCGAAACAACCACGCACGAAACCGAAAAAAAACACAGGGAATGGGCGTCCGAGCGACGGCGAGTTCGTCAAGTGGGAGTAAGGCCGAGGGTCGAGGTACTGTCAGGAGGGGAAAAAACACACAGACACAATTAATCGGCGATTCCCAGAAAATATGGGAAAATATGGGAAGTGGGGGGGAAGACAAAAACCCAGAAAATATGGGAAAATATGGGGAATCTTTTTATTTGTGTGTATTTATTTGTGTGTCCTGGGGCCCCTTCAAGTAAGGCCGAGGGTCGAGGTACTGGCCGTCGTCTGCAGCGTCCGCGTGCCTCTCGGGCCCCCTCCTCTTGCCACCGCGGGCCCTCTGCGCATCCCTCCCTCTGAGCCTGCGGGTCACTCCGCGCGGAGCTCGACGAGCGGAGCCCGGTGCGGACGCGCGCTCCCGCATCCCCACGGGTTGGAAGGCTCGGCCGTCTATCACCACCCACCAAACCACCCCAACCCAACCCGAAGGCTCAGAATTACCCTCGATTTCCAGTGGGGGGGGGTCGGGAAACATCGAAAAAATACATGTGGAACTCTTACCCCCCCAACCCGAAATTCGAGTCTTCGGGTTGGGTTGGGGTGGTATGGTAGCTAGTCAGTCTATCCACCAAGCTCCTTGGCCGCGATGTTCCGAGCCCCTCGCAGAGGCTTTGCCGCCTGACCTCCTGCCCACCCCCCTCTCCCCAGCAAGGCCCTGCCGCAGCCTCCCCCCGACGACCTCGCGCTGTTTCGAGGCGCGGACTCCCAGAGGTCTGGACCTCTCCCCAGGGAGCAGATGTCATCCCGAATCGGCTTTTGACGGCCCTGGAGTCCAGCGAGGGCCGGAGGCCGAACGCTGTCAAACGACTTCCGTAGGACTCTGCTTCGCCACGAGAGCCGTGGGGGGGGTCTCCCCGGCAGGGCCATCCCGCGTCCTTGCCCAGCCGACCCCCACTCTCGGCGATCGACGTTCGATCCAGACACCTGCTGCCCACCCCCCACCTCGGGGGTGGACACCCTCGGGGGTGGACAGACCTCCTACCCTGACACGTCGATTAGTGAATTGTCCGTTTTCGGTTCTTGAGAAGGGGCCGCGGCCGTCATTTTCCAGGCTTGCGCCCGCCAGGTTTGGGCCCGAGGTCGTTCTCACTAAACCACGTTTTACTAAAGGGGGGTCTGTCCATCCCCGACACCCAGGGCGCCAGGAGGAGAAGGTCATTGACGGAAAGCTCGGCCCCTGGGGCAAGAGTCTCATCTGTGCCGCCATTCTGGCCCCATGGTGGGATTTTGGCGTGAAGCGGTGGATGGATAAAACGTCGATCGCCGACCTCGAGGCCTCTAGGCCTCCAAAATAGGGTCCGAGTAGATGGGATCCGAGGATCGCGCCGTATCGCCGATGCGTTTTGATGTGGAGCCTGATTTTCTCCGCGCCGATGTCGACGATGCACCGTCGACCTCGCCGATGCATCGCCGATGCACCTGCGATGCGTCGACGCTGCGGTGCGATCCTCCGACACCATCTGCTCCGACGCCCTCTGGGAGGCCTGTATTGGTGGGATCTTGGCGTGAGGAGGGCCATCTGGTGCCCTGGCATCGCTCGGACGTGTATGTCTTTCTCGGCGCGGACCCTTGAGGAACATCCTGGATCCTCGAGCGAAACAAGCACGCACGAAACCGAACAGTGCACGGGAAATGGGCGTCCGAGCGACGGCAAGGGGCTACCACGAGGGTGCGCAGGCGCGCTTCGCGGCCCGGGCGACTCCAGGGCGAGGCGCGGGGGCGTCGCGGCGCGGAGGTGCGAAGAGGACCGCGCGTCGCGCGTCGCAGAGCGCGACGCGCGAAGCTGGCTGCGCTGGTTGATCGCCGATCGCCGATCGCCGAAGTACCCCCCGCTTCGGGTGCAACTCCTGGGGGGTCAAATTCTGTGTTCGCCCTGGTCCGAACTCCGGCTTGATCCCGCTTAATCCGGCTCGATCTCGCTGAATCCGGCTCAAGCTTGCTCAATCCGAGGCCCACTCTTGCGCAACGGCCCCCCAATGGTGCTCAATCCTCCTGAATCCTTCCGACGAAAACCTCCCAGTAGTTGCCTCCTAACCCCGCCCTCGCTTGGAATCGCCGCGGGGGCACAATCGGCTCTCCTCTAGAGGAGGGGTGTCGGGGCGCCAGCGTCCCGCAGTCCAAGGAAGCAGAATCGCCGATTCTGTAGACTCGCAGTGCGCCGTCGGTGATGCTGGCGTCTTCTTCTTATGGCGCTGCGGCGATTCCAGATCGGTGAGGACATCCAAAGCCGTTCGTTCGCCAGTTGCCCGAAGATGCCAACGACGCGAGGAGGTCTGGCCAAGTTTCGGCCCTCGAGGGCTCGAGCCTCGACCCTCGAAGGCCCGCTTCCTTCTTCCCCCCCTCCTCCTCGACGGCGAGCACGAGGTGGAGGTGCGAGAGGGGGGCGGCCTGCGACGGCCAGCGCTACAGGCCGGAGGCTTCTGCAAGGGCCCGGGTGCTGCCGCAGGCACTTCCAAGGAGGCCCCAGTGGCCCTCTGCCCTTCACAAGCACGGACTTCCCACTGCCGTTCTGCTTGTGCTGCCAGTCCGTCTAAGACGCAACGGTCTTGAATCAGAGAAACCTGTGTCGCGCGTGATCCTCCCCAAGTCGTAGAGGTCAGCGCGCTTCCCAACGATTCGCGAGAAAAAACATAATATATATATATATATATAAAAACAAAAAAAACAAAAAAAAAAAAAAAATCAAAAAAAAAAAAAAAATAAAAAAAAAAAATAAAAAAAAAAAAAAAAAAAAAAAAAAAAAAAAAAAAAAAAAAAAAAAAAAAAAAAAAAAAAAAAAAAAAAAAAAAAAAAAAAAAAAAAAAAAAAAAAAAAAAAAAAAAAAAAAAAAAAAAAAAAAAAAAAAAAACGGCCCCAGGCCCTCTTCGAAGCAGGGCCGCCCCTCTCCGTGCCCCCCCCCCCGCGCCCGACCGCTGGCCAGGGCGAGGGCCCTCTTTGATTCGGGCAAAAAAAGGCCCGGGCCCTCTTTGGGGGGGCCGCCCCCCCTCCGTGCCCCCCTCCCGCGCCCGACCGCTGGCCAGGGCGAGGGCCCCCCCCCCCCTCCGGGGCCCCTCGCCGCGCCTCTCTCGCCGCCCCCCCTCCCCCCCCCCCCCCCGGCAGCAGGCGGACGCCGGCGCCAAGGACGACGGGGGCGCACCGCCCTCGCCGTGGCGCCGTCGCCGGGAGCGCCGAGGTGTCCCCATCGGCTCCCTCCTTATCCTGCTCCTCCTCCTCCTCCTCTTTCTCCTCCTCCTCCTCCGCCTCCTCCTCCTCCTCCTCCGCCTCCTCCCCCTCCTTCCTCCTCCTCCTCCTGCTCCTCCTCCTCCTCTCCTCCTCCTCCTCCCCCTCCTGCTCCTCCTCCTCCTGCTCCTCCTCCTCCTCTCCTCCTCCTCCTCCTCCTCCTCCTCCTCCCCTCCTCCTCCTCCCTCCTTCACTGCTTCCTCCTCCCTCCCTCCTCCCTCCTCCTCCTCCTCCTCCCCCTCTTCCTCATCCTTCTCCTCCTCCTGTTCGCCCCCCCCCCACACACACGCGGGCCCGGAGATGGCCCCTCCCGTCTCCTCCTCCTGTTCGCGATCCACCTCTCCTCCTCCTCCTCCTCCTCCTCCTCCTCCTCCTCCTCCTCCTCCTCCTCCTCCTGCTCCTGCTCCTCCTCCTTTTTGGGTTCAGGGCGGACGCAAAAGTCAAGCAGCGGCGAGGCGTCCTGGCTCGCCTGTAGCTCTACCGAACAATATTCCAAGAACCCTTTTTGTGGTTTCCACGAGATGTTCTTGGAGCACTTCTGGCGGAGTCTGCCCTGTTTTGTCACATCGGGTCTAGGTTCTAACAACATTGCTTTTGTTCTTCGAACATTTAGGGTTCTAAGAACATGTCGTGGTATGACTATAGGAATGCAGGGACGGTCGGTCCCTGCTCAACTCTCTGCACAAACGAGATGGGCACAGAAAGAATGGGTACAATGCCCAACAGCAGTTCCTGTGCATTTTGAACAGGACTCGCTGTCCACGCCGCCGCGGCCGGTGTCCATTCGAGGCAGAAAGCCGCCTGCCCAACAGCGGCCGCTGTTGGGTTGAGACAACACTTACTGTTGGGCATTGTACACATTTTTTCCGTACTTATTTCGGGCGTCCTCGGTGCGATTTCGTCGGGCCTGTTTTTCTATAGGGGGGATATTCAAAAATAGTCAAAATAATATAAGGACTATGTTTTGAATATGTTTGGGCATATTTTGGGTAGTTTTTGAATAGTTGTAAGTTTTCGTCCAAGAACCCCTTTTAGGGGGACAGGGTCCACCTAACGGTACGATCAAGACGGGTGCAGAAGGAATCGGGACGAAGGCCGACAGCATCTCTTGGTCTCCTCTTCGTTCTTGACAGGCTTCGCTGTCCGTGCCACCCGCGGGCGGTGATCAGTTGAGACGAGAGGCCGCTTGCCCAACAGCGGCCGCTGTCGGTGTTGGGCAGCATCAGTCGATGGGTATCGCACCCATGTTTTCCGTACCCATTTCCGGCGTCCACATCCTTCTTCGGCGGAAGCGTAGCCAGGCGGGGTTGGTATCGAAGACGCCTACGGTGAATCATCGCCGCCCCCTGCCTTTTGGGAAGCGCCTCTGTGGCTAACGTTGGGTCCCAGATTGGCAAAGCTATCGGACTATGTGTTTCTCTAGCCGCTCTGGAAACTCTTGAATCTTGAAGGAACACTTGGGGTAGGATGAGTGGGAGGGTTAGGAGAGGGAGGAAGCGGAAGAGGAGCAGGAGGAGGAGGGGGATGAAAGCTCTTAGGAGCCTCTTGGGGCACTCTTGAGGCCCCCTGGGAGCTTCCTGAGGGCCTCTTGGGGGGCTCCTTGGGCCTCTTGGGGGCCTCTTGGGGGCCTTTGGCGGCTTCTGGGGGACATCTTTGACCGTCTTAGGGCGTTCCTGGACCGTCTGACACCGTCGGGAGCCGTCTTGGGGCCTCTCTGAACCGACTTGGGGCCTTGTTGGAGCATTTCAGGGCCTTCTTGGAGGCCATCTTGGGCGTCTTGGAGGCCTCTTGGATCGTCTTGTGGGCCGGGCCGTCTTGTGGGCCGTCATGGGGCCATTTGGGAGGCCTCTTTGGCGATCTTGGAGGCCTCTTGGGCCGGCTTGGGCCGTCGGATCGCCGAAAAGACGAACGTGCCAACATCAATCAAGAACCTGAAGAAAAACATTGCTGTTGGCCTCTTCGGGTTGCCTGGAGGAGCTCTCGGAGGCCTCTCGGGCCGTCTTAGAAGCCTCTTGGAGGCGTCTTGGGCCATCGTGAGGCCAGCTTGGACCGTCTTGGTGGCTTCTTGGACAGACTTGGAGGCATCTTGGACCCTCCTGGGCCTTCTCGGAGGCCATCTTGGACCATCTTGGGCGAACTTGGAGACCATCTTGGGCCACCTTGGCTGTTTTGGATGGGATGGGACACTTTTGGGGGGGATGGTGCGGCCTTCCGGTTGGCTGGCGCGCTGGGCCGAAGCCCGAGAGCGAGCTCATTCGGACAAAAAAAAAAAGCCGTATGGTTGAGCACGCTAGGCACCCCTGTGGCAAAACCACACGAGGAGGCGGATCTGATGGTCTTCGGCCCATCCCGCAACCGTGCCTGGGCTGGTGGGTCATAGGCCCCCAGGATGTTCGTTGGGATGTCGCGGGGGGTCTCTTGGGGGCCGTTCGGGGGCCTCTTGGGAGCCGTTCTTGGGACCTCCTGGGGCGTCTTGAGGGCCTTTTGGGGGTCTCTTGGGGCCGCTTGCCTCCTTCGGCGGAAGCTCAGCCAGAGAGGTAGGTATTTTAGCGGAGGGGGTTTTCAGTTCGCACGTTTGCTGTCAGGGGGGAAGGCGGGGTAGGCGTTCCCAGCACCCGGGAGCGCCAAGCCGGCCTATTCCTTGTTGTTGGGTATCATTAGTTAGCTGGTTGAGCAGTTATAATTATTTGACCCCCTCGCCCTCGCCTCTGCGCCAGCTGCACTTTTTTTTGAAACTTGGGCTAGCGATTCTGGGTTGCACCCGAATCTGGCCCCCCAGCAACAGCAACAACAACGCTCCCGAGCGATACGGTTTCAAAATTCAATCCGAGAGGCTCAGGCCAGAGAGAGCCCGAACCTCTGGAAGGGCGCTATCGCTGGAGCCTTCCTTGCAGTTTAGCACCACATGGGGGGCCCTTCAGAGCAGTCTTGCCGCTACTTGCGGGTGCCGGAACGGTTGTTTCGCGGCACGCGCCTCCACCTCCCCCGTTGTCAGATTCCAGAAACTCCTTCGCGGCCGAGCAAGGGCGCGAGTTTCCCCGCAGGCGCGCGCCCCCCCCCTCCCCCGCTGTGGAATTCCAGAAACTTCTTCGCGGCCGAGCAAGGGTGCGAGTTTCCCCGCGGGCGCGCGCCCCCACCTCATCCGCTGTGAATTTCCAGAAACTCCTTCGCGGCCGAGCAAGGTGGTCGTGGGGGACCCACCTCCCCCGGCGTGAGTTTCCAGAATTTACTTGGAGACCGAGCAAGGGCGATCACGAGGGAGTTTCTCGGAATGGCATCCGCCCGCAGGGCGGGATTGTCCCCGCAGGCGCGCGCCCCCACCTCCCCCGCTGTGAATTCCAAGAATCTCCCTCGCGGCCGAGTAAGGGTGGTCACGAGGGACTTTCTCGAAATTGAACACCCTCCCTGCCCCCCTCGGCGCAGGCTTGAAGTTTCTCGAATTTGTTGGTAGACCGCAGAGGGCATTTCGAGGAAGCTCGCCTGTGCGCACTTGGTTTCAACGTACATGTGTCCGATAGTGCCACGCCACCGGTGCATTTTCAAGTTTGGCGCAAACAAACATTTCGGACACGGCCGCGCGCGGCCTCAACTTGGCGCGGTGGATCGCAACCAGCGCGTTGAGTCTCTAAGTGTTTCTAGGCTTGCGCGCACTATGTTCTCGGGAGGCATCCGGAAGCCAGCCCGTTCGTATGTCCGCCAGTCTTGTTATGACTTGATGTGCGCACCTCGCATTCTGTCTGATGCGCCATCATAACTCTTGAGGCACGTGCGCGAGGGGCTACTCGATTGTGTCTATGCGTTCGTTATGTTGTAGTTTTGCTCACCTCATCGTTTCTCCTCGCTGCGCTCTTCTCGCCATATTCCTCTGCTTCGCCTTTGCCCTCCTCATCCAGTCGCCCCCCCCCCCCCCCCCCCCCCCTCCAAGTTCCACCCACTCCTCGCTCCGCTCTCTTCGCTCTCTTCCTCTGCTTCGCCGTCGATGTCCTCCCCCAGCCTCCCTCCGTAGCCATTGTGGCTCAAGGTGACATGCTTGGGGCGCTTTCAGCCTCCGGGCTTCCAAGGATTGCTCTTGTCCGAGCACAGTCTTCAACTTTGCGGCCTGTTCGCCCAGGCCAGGGCCGCCCGATCAGATCGAGCCGCGCATTTGTGGGCCCCTGCTGGAGCAACCCCGAGCGCTGAGCAGCGCGACGCCGCCATGCGGAAGCGTCAGACGTGCGCGGTGTGCAGCGGCTGCGGCGGCTCGGTCTTCGACTGGAATTCCTGCGCTCGGGTGGATGGCGCAAAAAGTGCGACTGTTACATCGCGGGCTGGAACTCAGCGGGGCCGACGAGCGCCGGTCTACGAGGTGGGAGTTTCTCGCCTTGGAAATCCCAGGGGCAGTCTTCACCCGCATAGGAGATCTAGCAAATCCTCGACAAGTTCAACGGCGGGAAAAGCGCTTTCGGCGAGGCACAAGAGAAGGTGGACCTCGGGCCCCTCCAGGAGCTCAAGGCCCAGCTCATCGCGGCGGATCAGAAGCCGCTGGAGGTGCCCAAGTCGCAGGCATTGCGTCAGGCGATCATCATGCTGGACCAGCGCTGGGGAAAGCGACGCCCCGGCTCATGGGGGCAGAGCGCTAGCTCAAGCAGGCGCAGGACAAGCGTGACAAGGCGCTGGAGGAGGCCGCGGGCGCTGAGGGGGGGCACGAGCAGACCCTGCGGGCGCGCTCCAACTCGGCGATCCCCGCGGCAGCGGAGGACGAGGCCGCAACATGGAAGGCGCCAGCTGCGGACCCCGACCTCTTCGCCAACCTGGAGCACTACGAAGCTGAGGATGAAGAAAAGCTACTCAAGCTCAGGTCGGACATGGGGGCCCTCGCATCGCTGCTGGAAAAGGCGCGGAAACAGTACACGGGCTCCGCGGAGGCGAAGAAGCAGCGTCTCACAATGCCAAGAAACGCAAGGCATAATCAGGAGCAGTGGCCGCAGAACCAGCGCGTCAACCTGAAGCAGATTCATCGCCGGCGGCAGCAGGATCGACACCTTCGGCAGCTGCAGCGGAGCCGTCGGCAGCGGAAGGAAAGACTCGACAGTCTCACGAGCGACGCGAAGACCAGGGCAGTGGCAAGGGCGAGGGGGCTCCTGCTGCTGCTGGGGGCCGTCATCTCCCGCGGGGGGACCTTTTCCAATATCACGCAGTGGGGCCCAAGGGCCCACGAGTACATCAACGAGGGGGGCGCCGACATGGGCATCTTTATGATGTGCGAGACGCGCATGCCACGCGGCAAGCTGAATCAGGCGAAGGTGGGCGCGGCTAACAACGGCTGGAAGATGGCGGGCGCAGCGGCGGTGCCCGCCAAACGCTCAGCGGGAACTCTAGGGGCGAGATCATCTTGGCCATGTTTCACATCGCCTGCTCGACTTTTACGGCGCCATCCGCGAACGATTACTAGCGAAGGGGAAATGGACCTTTTCTGCTGTTTCAAAGCAGTCATCCTCCACGCGAAGGCGGGGGGCGTTGTTTTGATATCAGCATGTTGGCTTCCAGGCGCCGGTTTGCATAGAGTTAATCAAGAACGAGTGCGCTCACTGGCAGGCTTTGTGAAGGCGCCGGTGGGCCCATGGGTGACCCTTGCAGATTGGAAGGCGCCGTGCGAAGACATCGCCAAGACGGGCTTCGCCCAGCAGATAGGGGGCGCATTCATCAAGCCAGATGTGGAGGTCACATGCGACGCAGGAAACGGCAGCCTCAGAGATTACGGCATCACCAGGACGGACTTCATCGACAAGGTGAAGCTGCAGGCCGTCAGGGAGGCACCATCGCGGACGCATTGTGGGCTAATTCTGACCTTGGAAGGAGCTTCGCGACCTTGGTGGCATCGCAGAGTGGCTCTACCACAGGAGCTGGCTACGCCAGCCAAGCCGAAGAAGAAGGCATACCCGAACAGTGAGAGGTCACGCAAGCGGCAAGAAGAACGGCAACGTGCAGAAGAGCGTCTTGAGCAGCATCTACGGGAGGCGTTCCAGGAGCAGACGACGATAGAGGAAGAGGCTGAGAGGCAGAAGGAAAAGCCGCACTACATCAGACGAGATTTGGGTTCAGACACTGGCATCGGGAAGGCGCGAATGGGAGCTTTCCGGCGAGCTCAAGTTCTGGGGCGGAGACCTCATTATACGTGGACAGCGGCATCGGTCGGCAGAGGCGGCGGCTACCAGGATGCACGCAGAGTGGGCCACATGCTTAGAGGAGCCGGCGATCATCGCAGACGAGATCGCAGAAGAAGCTGGCCTACACCGAGGTCGCGCAGGAGGCTTCGAAGTAAAGTGGGTAAAGGCCCGATCGACGCCAGGGAGAACGCGCGTGCAGTTCGGGCCAGCGGAGCAGTGGGGCATCCTGAACGCGATCCTCGTACTTTACCGCGCCCTCCACACCAACGGCACCGATGGCAGGCAGCAGGCAAAGTGCTTAGCAGACGCGAAGACGCAGAGCAGGGCCCTGCAGAACATGGGCCAGCCCTTCGTATTTGGTAAGAAGTACGGAGAGGCCACAGAAGATGTTCTACGAGATGCTGGGGGGCCTGGCCGACCTGGACGACGCGCAGGTCGCGCGCCTGGTCCGGCAGGCAGAGGGTCTCCTAGCTACGCCCAGGCAAGAGGCATCACGGCACAGAGGAAGAGCTTTACACATGGCAGAAGATGGGCCAAGAAGGCCGGTCGATGCCACCGCCACGTCAAGGAGCAGCAGCCTCCCAGATTCGAATTATGCACGGAGCAGATGGGAGGCGCGGCGGACCCAGACATCATGATAAGCACCTAGAAGCACGAGTGGGAGCGAATATAGACGGACCCAGTGGACACGAAGGAGGATATCGCGTTCCAGCAAGACATCATGCGTGACAAGGCCCTGGAGGACGACATGGGCCCGCTCGCCCTGGAGGATTTGGACGGAGAAGTAGCGGCATCGTCGGCGGCGAAGGCGAAAGGAGTGGATCACCTTGGACCTTGGACCGAATGATGTGGCACGCTCTCCACGGCAGGCGCGTGAATGGCTACTGCAAGTATTGCAATTCTGCGAGGAGGAGATTACATGGCCGAGGCAATTGGCAGCTACAAAGTGTGCGCTGGCAGCTACGAAGAGTGCTCGGCATGCTGGCGCTCCAGATTAAGCTACGGTCGAGAGCGAGAGGGGGGCGTTGTGCGCCATGGAGTGACTCGCTCCCAGCGCACTGGGACACGGCACTCAAAGGAAGTTCGGCGCTGCGAGCAGGTCTGTTTCGACCTGTACTAGACGAGGTTTGAGCTGAACTAGGAGCCTCGGCCACGCCGCTCCTCTTAGACATGAAGAAGTTTCGCGACACAGTGCCAAGGGTCATATTATGTCTGTTCGCGGTCAAAGTTGGCTTTCCAGCAGCAGTGGTGGCGGTTGAGATTTCGGCATTCATCGGCCCCAGGTTCCTACAAGAGCGGAACATCATCAGCGAGCCGATTTTGGCAACGCGCTCGCTGGTGGCAGGCTCAGCAAGAGGAGTAGGGTTGGCCAAGCTATTCCTTCATCCAATCTTGGATCGAGCCCATCGCCGAGCACCAGAAGCGTCACTATGGACATTCGTAGACGACACAGTGGCACGCCAAGAAGGACGCAGACAAACGGTAGGTCCTGGCATCGAGCACGTGACCACCATTTTCACAGACGGCCTCAAGGAGCAGAGGATGACGATCTCGAGCAAATCAGTCTTTATTGGCACCCACCCCAAAGACGTGCAGAAGGTGGCGAAGGAGCTGAGGAAGCAAGTAATACTTGTACAAGCGGCCACGGAGGCGGTCGACCTGGGCCTCGACGCGGCAGCAGGGAGAAAGAGGGCCACGACGAAGGCGGAGCAGAGAAGCGAGAGAGCCAAATCACCGGTTTGCGAAGATCGTCGGACTGCGTCGAGTTGCGGCCCTGGCCAGAGAAAGCAAAGGATTATGGAGCGCTGGAGCGGTGCCACAAGCGGTGTATGGACATCGAGATTTTCCGGTCTGGCACTACGCGAGCTTCAACGGTCCCGCAGAGAAGCAGGACAAGCTGTAGGAGGTCATGCTGGTGGGAAGTGCCTAACGACAACACTTGCGGTGGAGATGTGGACTGGCGACCCTGGCATGGCAGTGCGCGTGGCGGTAATCAAGGAGTGGATCAACATGTGGCAGCGGTTCCCGGAGATACCCCAGGGCCGTCATGGCGCGGCCGCTCATCCGCACGAGACTGGTCAAGCTGGGGCCGAGGAGGTGGCAAGGAGAACGAGGGCCAGTGGGGGCAGTGCAGGCCGCGCTCATGGACGTGGGATGGCACGCCCCAAAGGCAACTATGTGGTCTCGGCCAGTCGGAGAAGATGATGACACGGCAGAACAATGGGATACACCGTCGTCTTTGGACGGAAGCTTCGAGCAACAGGGTGCTTCCAGTAGCTGTGGGCGATTTCGAGCACGACATAAGAGGGTCATCTGGGCGATGAGCATCAGCGCAACCAAATGGAGAAGGACTGGAAGCAGGCGCAGGTCCATGGCGCGTTCGGGCAGAGCAGCGTCGCTTCGAGAAGCAGGGCCACCCAGACGTGATCGGCTTGAATATCACGGTGGTCGCACGAGGGCAGCGGCGCAAGACTCGAGCGGCAGAGCAAGAGTACCTTCTGGAGAGCAAGCCGCGCGACAGGTGCAAGGGGGCGGGCGAGGCGCTCATGCGCAGAATATGGTTCTGTCCGAAGAACACGGACTATGAGGATTTCTCAAAGACTGAGTCCCTAGCGCCCGCGGCCACGGCGCAGGCGGAGTCGCAGCCTGCATTTTGGCTGCGAGGATTGCCGCCAGCCTTTCTCGCCCATCCCGTTGTTAATGGCGAGGAACTCGAGGGGGGGGGGGGGGGGCTCGGTTTGGCGATTGGGGGGGGGGGGTTGGGAGGAGTGCAGATTTCACGGCCTGATCCACATTTCTGGCGACGGCTCAGGGGGCAGATATTCGTCGGGCCCTCGTCGCCGCCGGCGTGGAGCAGGAATTGCAGTTATCCGCTGTCGCGAAGGAGTGGGAGGTTAGTCGAGCCCTCGCTGTACCTCTCACAGGTAGGAGGCGCACTGTTCCCCGATCGGAGATTTCAGCTTTTGCCGTGGCGCTGGAAGAGCGCCTAACGAATTTCACTTCTGTCGCGGACCATCGGGCGGTCGCGTTATCCTGGAGAAACCGTTTCGAGCATCCGAAAGCCACGGGCCCCAATGAGCACCTGGACCCGCGCTAGAGTCGCCTGGCAGGCTCACCCAGACCGAAATATTAATGTTGCGTGGGCTGCCTCACATCTGGATGAGACCCCAGAGTTGCTGAACACTCCTGAGCAGGAGCTCGCTGTTGCAGGGAATGTCGCGGCGGACATCTGGGCGGGGGCCGGGGCGGAGCTGGCGTGTGAGTTCGAGCTGGTGGTGGGGGGCCCTGACACGGACAGAATCGATTCAATTGCGCACTTGGTGCGCAAAAGAGCTAGACGAACGCTCGCGTTGGCCGCCTCGGCTGAGTCGGGAGAGCGAGCCGTTGAGCCCCAATAGTGAAGAAGCTCTCCAAGCAGGAGAGAATTATTACATCTTCGTCTCACCAGCTCCATCGAGTAGGTAGCAAGTGGAGATGCTCGCAGTGTGAGTTAATTGTCCAAGGGGCCAGTTTTTTGCTTTTCTCAGCTTCCTCGTGTTCTGGACCCCTCGGGAAAAGCGGCCTTGGGGGCCCTGAGTTCATTCCAATGGTTGGAGTAGACCTCGAGATCCACCCGTGTCACTCGATCACAGTTGTTGATCACTGGATCCTCCCGGTTTGCTCGCTGCGCGGGAAGTATGCCACGGTGGACCCGAGGCACCTGCAGAACAAATGCGACGGTTTCATCCCGAACGGGG